ACGGGGGGGAGGGAATTGGGGAGGGGAGGAGGCGGAAGACAGGGAGAGGAGGGGGGCACGGTCGGTCTGACTAGGCCACGGGGGGGGCACGGGACAGGGAGGAGAGGGGAGGGGAGCACGGCCGGTCGGAATAAGGAAAATGGGAGCGAAGTGGGAGGGAAAGGGGAGGAGAGGGGGGCGGAGGACAGGGAGAGGAAGAGGGCACGGTCGGTCGGAATGAGACAGGGGGGGCACGGGACAGGCACAAGGGAGGGGGCACGGCCGGTCAGAATAGGCCAAGGGGGGGCACGGAGGACGGGGGAGCGGGGGCACGGTCGGTCGGTCGGAATAAGCCAGGGGGGGGCTCGTGGGGGGAGGCAAAAAGCCCACGGGACGGGGAAAGGGCACGGGACGGGGGAAGGGAGGGGCCACGGTCGGTCGGAATAAGCCAGGGGGTGGGCGAGGGGTGAAGGAAATGGGGGGGGAGGGGGGGGCGAAGGACACGGAGACGAGGGGGGCACAGTCGGTCGGAATACAAAAAGGGGGCACGGAGCAGGCAGATGGGAGGGGGCACGGTCGGTCGGAATAAAACAAAAGGGGCCCACAGAACGGGGGACGGGGGCACGGTCGTCGGAAAAAAGCCAGGGGGGCTCGCGGGGGGGAAAGTAAGAAGGCACGGAACGGGGACGGGGAGAGGGCACGGGAGGGGGGGCACGGTCGGTCGGAATAACTGAGGGGGGGGGGGAGGCGAGGGGGGGGGGACATGGAGAGGGGAGGAGGCGGAGAACAAGGAGAGGGGAGGGGGGCACGGTCGGTCGGAATAAGCCAAGGAGGGTGGCACGGGACAGGGAGAGGGGAGGGGAGTACGGCCGGTCGGAATAAGGAAAAGGGGGACGAGGTGGGAGGGAAAGGGGGGGAAATGGGCAGGAAGGCAGGGAGAGGAGGGGGCACGGTCGGTCGGAATAAGACAGTGGGGGGGCACGGGACAGGCACAGGGGAGGGGGCACGGCCGGTCGGAATCAGCCACGGGGGGACACACAGAACTGAGGGGGTAGGGGCACGGTCGGTCGGAATACGCCAGTGGGGGGGGCTCGTGGAGAGGCAACGAAGCCACGGGACGGGGAGAGGGCACGGGACAGAGAGAGGTGAGGGGGCACGGTCGGTCGGAATAAGCCAAGGGGGAGGGGGGAGGGAAATGGGGGGAGAGGGGATGGAGGGCAGGGAGAGGAGGGGGGCACTGTCGGTCGGAATTAGACAAGGGGGGGCACGGGACAGGCAGAAGGGAAGGGGCACGGCCAGTCGGAATACTCCAGGGGGGAGGGGGCACACAAGACGGGGGGCCGGGGGCACGGTCGGTCGGGAAAAAAAGGTGGGGGCTCGTGGGGGGGAGGGCCCAAACGCCATGGAACGGAGAGAGGGCACGGGACAGGGAGAGGGGAGGGGAGCACGGTCGGTCGGAATAAACCCGAAAAGGGGGCACGGAGGACGGGAGGGCGGAGGCACGGCCGGTCGGAATAAGCAAGGGGGCGGGCTCGTGGGGGGAGGGGAAGGGAACGGGGGGGGGGGAGGGGGAAGGGACGCGGAAGGGGGGGCACGGAACGGGGAGAGGGCACGGGACAGGGAGAGGGGAGGGGGCACGGTCGTAACAAGCCAGGGGGGGAGGGGGGAGGGAATTGGAGAGGGGAGGAGGCAGAGGACAGGGGGAGGAGGGGGGCACGGTCGGTCTGAATAAGCCAGGGGGGGCGAGGGGAAAGGAGAGCGGAGGAGGCTGAGGACAGGGAGAGGAGGGGGGCACTGTCGGTCGGAATAAGACAGAGGGGGAGGGGAGGGGGGGGGGGGGGGCAGGCCGCGGGACGGGGAGAGGGCACGGGACAGGCAGAGGGGAGGGGGCACGGCCGGTCGGAATAAGCCAGGGCGGGGGCGAGGGGGGCACGGGACAAGGAGAGGGGAGGGGAGCACGGTCGGTCGGAAAAAAGAAAAGGGGAACGAGGTGGGAGGGAAAGAGGGGGAAAGGGGTAGGAAGGCAGGGAGAGGAGGGGGGCACGGTCGGTCGGAATAACAGTGGGGGGCACGGGACAGGCGCAGGGGAATGGGGCACGGCCGGTCGGAATAGGCCAAGGGGGGCACGGAGGACGGGGGAGCGGGGGCACGGTCGGTCGGTCGGAATAGGCCAAGGGGGGGCTCGTGGGGGGAGGCAAAAAGGTCACGGGACGGATAGAGGGCACGGGACAGGGGAAGGGAAGGGCCACGGTCGGTCGGAATAAGCCAGGGGGGGGGAGGGAGGGGGGGAATGGGAAGGGGAGCGGGGAAGGAGGGCAGGGAGACGAGGGGGGCACGGTCGGTCGGAATAAGCCAAGGGGGGGAGGGGGGGGGTCACCGTAAAGGCAGGGGGGAGGGGGCACGGCCGGTGGGAATGAGCCAAGGAGGGGGGCACGGAGGACGGGCGGGCGGGGGCACGGTCGGTCGGAATAAGCGACGGTCGGGGGGGCTGGTGGGGGGAGGGCAAACAGGCCACGGGACGGAAGAGAGCACGGGACAGGGAGAGGTGAAGGGGGCACGGTCGGTCGGGGGGGCGAGGGGGGAGGGAAATGGGGAGGGGAGGGGGGAAGGAGGACAGGGCGGGGAGGAGGGGGGCACGGTCGGTCGGAATATACCAGAGCGGGCACGGGACAAGCAGAGGGGAGGGGAAACGGTCGGTCGGCGAAAGCCAGGGGGGGGCACGGAGGACGGGGGGCGGAGGCACGGTCGGTCGGAATAAGGGGGGGCGCGGGGGGAGAGAAGGCAGAAGGGCCACGGGACGGGGAGAGGGCACCGGACAGGGATAGGGGAGGGGGCACGGTCGGTCGTAATAAGCCAGGGGAGGCGAGGGGGAGGGAAATGGGGAGGGGAGGGGGGAAGGAAGGCAGGGAGAGGATAGGGGCACGGTCAATCGGAATAAGACAGGGGGGGGGCACGGGACGGGCAGAGGGGAAGCGGCCAGCACATTCCAGGCACGCATTCTGATCCCGCACATTCCAGGCACTCATTCCAGCCGACGGAGACAGGACACACCCCAGTGTTCACAGTCCAGGACACTTCGCACATCCCAGGGCACGTCCAGCACATTCCAGGCCTGGTCGGTCGAAACAGTTCAGCGCGAGACAAACACAAGTAGGTATGATAATACCTCTGGGGGTCTGCCTGGGGCCCAGGGCCGACCCAAGAAACGATCCGAGACGAAACACCGGCCGAGTGTTGGGGGGGTCGACAGAAGCGCCTCTTCTCTTCTTACCCAAGACCCCCGCCAGCAGACTCCGTCTGCCGCCAAACGGCCCGGTTGTAACCCTACAGACCTCTGGGCACAGGCGGCTTGGTGCGCCTGCTCCAAGACGGCCCCTCTCCTCCTCGGAGAAGATCCTACCCCCGTGCAGGTCCTGGGGCCCAAGGTCAGGCACAGCGCGTGAGGCGGAAGTGCTGGCTCGGTCTCCGGGCGAGCGCGCGCGAGCCGAGCCCCACAGGGGGCCGTGGCCTCGACGCCCACCGTGCGGCACGGGTCGGGTGTTGCCAGGGGTGTCCCTGGGCCAGGGCGTCCCCAGCAGCTCCGTATGGAGGCCCCCGCGGCCGCGCACCCCTCGCGAGGCCCGGTGGGCCCCAGGGGCTCCGAAAAGCCGGGGCCACAGTGGGGCCAGGGGCACCTTCCGCAGTGCCCGAGCGGAGCGCCCGCGAGAGGGGGAGCCCGGGGTGGGGTTCGCGCGGGGCAGCAGCAGCGGCAGCGGCGGCGGCAGGAGGAGGGCGAGGGGTGAGCTGCGCGGCGCAGCGTCGCAGCCGCAAACATGATACAGAGAGGCGGGGGCCCAGGTCTCGCATGGGGGGGTCGCAGGAAGCGGCTGCAGCGGTGCCTCGTGGGAGGCCCGTCGGCCGCCGCCTCGCCTTGCGGGGCGCGACCCCTGGCACACAGCCGGACGCCGCACAAGTCGGTAGGACTTGCCGTGCAGGCCATCGGCGAAAACAGCTAAGCTCCTGAGGCGAAAACAGCTAAGCTCCTGAGCAGTTGTCGCTGGCAGCGTCTGCGTGCCGACGCCCACCGCCGACACGCACGCCCTCTGCGCGTCGGCGCCTCCGGGCGAAGGCCTGCAGAGGCCGACGGGCGTCGGCACGCAGAGCGTGTCGCGCTGCCGCGAGCCCAAGCCATTGTCATACAGTCCACCTGCGCTCGCCGATGGCAAGCACAGAGTGTCGAGGTGACTACGCACCGAGACATTGGGCGGCGCGGCATGCGCTCTGCAGCAAATGCCTTCCAGGCTGCCGTCCCCCCGTAGGGCTCTCTGCCACGCAGGCGTCCTGCGATAATCAAGCACGCTCACGCACGCAGCAACGCGTGTGCGGTTCTGTCTGCTGCATGCGGAAGCGCACGGCACGGGCGTGCCACGGCTCCGGGAAGGAGAGGTGCGGTCGGGGAGGAGAGGGAGAGGAGGAGAGGGGCAGCTCCCAGAAGAGGCCGAAGCCTGGGCAGTTTCGACGGCGGCGTGAGAGCACGAAACATACCGCAGACGTATCGCTCAGACGGTGCGCACGCAGCCAGCTCCACATGCTTGTCCTGCGACCGAGGCCGCAACTTCGCCGAACCTGGCCGACCGCAGAGCATTGGAGGGAATAGGAAAGCAAACCCACAGCGGCCGTCACGTGCCGACCATTGCCCAAGCATGCTTGGAACCGAAACTGGTGAGAAATTTAAACTGTGCAGTCGGACCGAGAACCGTGATTGACCACGAACTCCCGCGCAAGACACTAAAAAGGAGAGGAGGAGGAGGAAGAGAAGGAGGCCACCGAAGCAAACTCTGACACGAGAAATGCCCACGTTCGTGTCACAGAATGCTTCATCTTGCATCTCCAGGCAAGGGGCAAGGGCCAGAACGCTTGTCTGCAAACGGAGCCATCGACGGTGGTGCACCAGCGGTCTGCACGACTCCAGGCCATCAACAACGGCACGCACGCAGCGAGCGGAGGTTTGATCCCTCCTCCCTCCCTCGCACTCCTCCCCCCAGCCCCTCTCTCCCCGCCGAGATGGTGAGCAGCAGCCGCTTGGAAAAGCTGTCGACGGCGCGCGGCAGGCGAAAGGGGGGGGGCGTCGCACCGCACTCTACGATCGGGGGCTCCTCAGGGGCGGCCCGCCGCGTGGGCTGCGCCGCTGTCCAGGACGAAGGGCTTGTACTCCGGATTGCGCACACGCTTCATGCGGGGGTTCTCCGATCGGGCAATGTTGGCGGCCAGGCCCTGCACGGAAGCCACGGCGATTTGTACCCCGGGCGCACCGACCAGGCGGCCCGCGCACGTCGAGCGCCCGCGCCACGCCCTCTGGAACTCGGCGGCCACCTCGCTTGAGACGAAGTTGACGAACGCGTGGCCCACGTTGTTGCCAGAGGCGAAGTTGCGGGGCAGGTAGCAGAAGTCAACCCTGCCGTCGAAGCCCGAGCGGTGGATGTCCTCCAGAAGCTCGAACTGGCCCAGCTCCCGGGGCAGGCCGCTCAGCATCAGGGAGGTCACCCTCCGAAGAGGCGGCACCGGCGACTTCCCGACCTGTAGGGCCGTGCACCCCCTGCCCGCCGACGTCTTCGCGGCACCCGCGGGCGGGGCTGCCGTCGCGGCCCCCTTGGCGCCCGGTGCCCTGGGCACCCCCCTCGCAGCCCTCGCCGCCCGCTCCTGGGAAGCTCGAGCGCGGTCGGGGCCCTCCTCCGCTGGCTCCGCCTCTGCCGCCGCCAGGGCCGCGAGCGCCGACGCGGCGGCCTCCATGGCGGACTCCATGCTGTCGGCACCGCCCGGCGCGACGGGGCCATCCGTCCGCACAGGGCGCGCCGACGGCGGGAACTGGCCGCCGAAGCGGCGCGGACCCTGCAGGGCCACGGCGGTCATCTTCAAGAGCATCGGTGGCATGAGGGAGCAGGCATCACTGCTGGACTGAGTCGTGGCGAAGTGCTGCTGCGGCGTCAGGAACGTGGGGCACCATACGCCCGACGCCTGCGTCCCGTTGTCGACAGTGGCCCGAACTGCGCCACGCTTGCGACTGCAGGGCGACCACTCATACACCTCTTCATCGTTGTCGGTGTCTGGCCACAGCTCTGGCGAGCCCTCCTCACCAAGGCGATCTGCCTGCTCGTGCTCACGTGGAGTGCTCGGGGCCTCTGAGGCGTGGCTCCCAGAAGCAGCGGTCGACTCGTCCGCCGATGCTGAAGAGATGCACGCCGTATCGCCCAACACGGAAGCGCGGCGCCCGCTGCCACGCCCCTCGCAGAAAAAGCGGTGGAACGCGTTCCCTGGATCGCTGTGGCTGCGCTTCTGGGCGCTGGAGCGATCGCTGCAGGCCTGAAAGCTGCTGCCGAGGGGGGCCAGGCCGGTCTCGGCGCGGGCCACGGCCATCCGTCGGAAAAGTTCCTTGGTCGGGCGTCTGCCAGCAGGACCAGAAGATGCCGCCACTGGCGTGGTGTTTTGTACAGAAGGACTGGGCACAAACAATACACTCGAGCCCACATGGCAATGGACCCCAGACCCTGCAAAACCTAATGACCGTTACGAAGACGGGGGGCGTCCTTTCAAAATGATGATTCCGCTGGACTCTTCGATAGGCTTGAATGGTGTTCCTTGTATACGTCGGTAAAACAAGACAGTAGTTCCTTTTTTTCAAAACGGGGCCTTCACCTGGGTGGCAGACCGACAAGGTCTTCGTCTTTGGAGCGGGCGTTTCCTGTAGTGAGCAGGGAGGCCTGTAAGGAATTCAGTGGGGGGAAGATGGGACGGGATGGTGTCTTGCGGCATTGTTAACACTTCCTGGGCATACTCTGGACGGGCAATAACTCGACGCGGAGATCCCAATATGTGCATATCACACTCCTGTCACGTTTCTGAAGAACTCTGTCTGTGAATGTCTGGTGTGAGGGCGAGTCCGCGTAGACGACGGGCGCGACCGTGACGACGACGACCGCGACGACTTCAGTGACGTCCTCCTTCTTTCGACATCTCTCAGGAAAGACGCAGGAAACAAATGTGGAAGAACGAGTGGGGATTCCTGGAGCCGTTCTCACTGCGACAATTCGGGCAGAAGCGCATAGCGTTGCTACGCCTGCTCCCCAGCGCGATACTCACAAAGTGCTCCGAAAGCAAAGAATGGTGGGTACCGAAACAGGCAAGCCGCCTGAGACATCCCCACAATCGAAACGCGATTCCTGGGATGTTCTCTACCACTGGCGGCTCCCCCTTGGGAGTGCTGAAACCAGCGCCTCGCCTGAGACATCCTCACAACCTGCTCCGAAAGCAAAAGAAGTTGGGCACCCAGGCTGGAAAACCGCCTGGGATTTCTCCACGATGTGAGCGCGAATCCTGGAGTGTCCCCACCCCTGGCGGCTCCCCCCAGGGTTGCCCAAGTGCCACGCCTGCTATATCGCGGTGAGCAATGGCGCTGTGCCACGCCGACGATATCGCCGTAGCCACCTGTGTGAGTGAGCCTTGGTGCGAATGATATCTGAACGTGGGTGATCTGGGTGTGAGAAGATCGGACTGTGTGTGGATCCGGGTACGATCGAACCTGAGTGTGAATGGATCTGGATATAGTCGGTGTGAGCCCGAGTGCGTCTGAGTATGAATCAATCTGAGTGCGAGCGAGTCTAAGTGCGAGCGTGTCGGAGTGTGAGTGAGTCTGAAGGCTGGTGAGTCTGAGTGTGAGCGAGTCTGCGGTTGAGTTGATCTGGGTGCGCGTGAGTCTGAGTTTGAGCGAGTCTGAGCATGAGCGAGCGCGCGTGAGTCTGAATTTGATCGGATATGAGTATGAGCGAATATGAATGTGATGAGTGAGTCTGAGTGAGGAAGAGGTGCGTCTGAGTAACTCCGAGTGCGAATGAAGGCGTCCGAGTGGGGAGAAGGAGAAGGAGGTGAGTGAGTGAGTGAGTGAGTGACTGAGTCAGGAGCACACAAGTCCAAAGAGAAGCTTGCGGGGCAGACACAAGCAAACCGCCTGAGACATCCCCCCCAATCTGAGCGCGAATCCTGAAGTGTCCCCACCCCTGGCGGCTCCTCCTTGGGGTGCCCGAGTGCCACGCCTGCTAGATGACGATCAGCACCGGACCACAACAAAGAAGTCTAGCGGGGGTGGCAGAAACAAGCAAACTGCCTGAGACATCCCCTGGATCTGAACGAGAATGCTGGAATGTCCCGGTCCCGACCTTTGGCGGCTCCACCTCGGGGGGCCCAAATGACACGCCTGCTATATCGCGGTAAGGTTTGGACCACAAGCGAAACATATCTGTGGGGGGCAGAAACATGCAAACCGCCTGAGACATACCCACAATTTGGACGCGAACGTTGGAGTGTCCCCATCACTGCGGCTCCCCCACTGGGGCGCCTGAGTGCCAAGCCTGATATATCGCGGTGGGCAGCGGGCCACCACGAGAAAAAAATCGAAAGGGCAGAAACAGGCACCCCCCGTGAGACATCCCCACAATGTGTTCTATAAACAAAATGTGCCGGGCATGCAAACAAGCAAACCGCCTGAGACGTCCGCACAATCAGGGCGCGAACGTGCCCGTGAGATAGCCCGCCTTGACGCTCCCCCATGGGGGTGCTGAAGCCAGCGCCCGAGACATCCTCGCTAAATGCGCCGAAAGCAAGGGATGATGAGCACGCAAACAGGCAATCCGCCTATGTATCCCCACAATCTGGGCGCGAACAGGCCCGTGAGATACCCCTACTGGCGCTTCTTCTTGGGAGTGTTGAAACCAGCGCCTCGCCTGACACATCCTCGCGACATGTGCCGCAAGCAAAAGATGCTGGGCACGCATACAGGCAACCCGCGGGAGAATCCTCACAATCTGGGCGCGAACAGGCCCGTGAAATACCCCCTGTGGCGATCATCCTTGGGGGTGCTGAAACCAGCGCCTCGCATGAGACATCCTCGCAAACTGCTCCGAAAGCACGAAATGCCGCGCACGCATACAGGCAAACCGCCTGAGGCATCCAGGCAATCTGGGCGCGAACAGGCCCGCGAGATACTCCCATTGACGCTCCCTCTTGGGAGTGCTGGAACCAGCGCCTCGTCTGAGACGTCCTCGCAAACTGCTCCGACAGCACCAGATGCTGGGCACGCATGCAGGCAAACCGCCTGAGAATCTCCTAAATCTGGGCGCGAACAGGCCCGTGAGATACCCCCCGCGCTCCCCCGTTGAAAGCGCTGAAACCGGCGCCTCGCCTGAGACATCCTCACAGCCTGTGTGCGTGAGTTTTTTTTTTCAGCGCAAGAGAGCCCCAACTCCATGAACAACCACGCAAGTGAGCACTCCATTTAGCAGCAGTGGCACCGGTGACCCTTCACCACGGGCTCGAAGCCATTTAAATCCTCAAGCTGCGGGATGGAGAACCCGCACGAGCGACACATTCGGAACCGCGCAAACGCGGGGGGCAAAGAGAGGGGAGGAGCAGAGGGAGGAGCAGAGGAGAGACAAGAAAGAGGGGGAGGGCAGTCCCGACCCTGCTAGGGGACGGACAAAGGATCCTAAGCGAAGCCTCGGACCCACCTGCAAAAACAAAGAGGGGGAGGAGGAGGCAGAGGGCGGAGCACAAGGAGAGGGGGGAAGACGAGGAGGGAGAGTGGGCAGCGTGATTGCCAAAATTGGCTGACACGCCCAACAGTAGCTTTAAAACCTGGCCTCCGCCAGAAGCAAAAAGCACCGGCCACAAGGTAGGGGAAGGAGAAAGAAGAAAGAAGACAGGGGGCAGGGAAGACAACAAGACAACAAAGAATGCAATGAAGGGTGATCTAAAGGGCGACTCCAACCGGGGGGCGCTGGAAGCTCGCAGAGTAACAGGAGCCCGCGCAGCGGGAGTGCCCGACACATGCACGCGTACACCTACAAAAAAACACAGAACAAGGCCAATAGGAGGCCAGAAGAAGGGAGAGAACGAGAGAAAGAAGAGAGGGAAAGTGAGAAAATACGGTGAACACAGAGTGCTGCTTCCAAATGGCCACGAAGCGATAAATTGCGCTGCGGTGGAGCACGTGCCCGAAACCCGAGTGCACGCGAGGATGTCATGACACCATGTGGACCCACAAGTGCATGGGTACTTCGAACGTGAGTGGGTGGTACTTCGAACATGGACTCACCACCAAGTTCCACCCAGCCTGTGTGCGTGAGTAATTCTGAGCATGAGTGAGACTGGGTGGGGAAGTGATGTAACTGAGTCTAAGTGGAGGAAACTGTTTCGGAATGCAAGTGGGTCTGAGTGCTGAGAAAGTGTGCAGAGAGCGTGTGGGTATGATGTGTGGTGATTGTATGTGCAGTGCGTGCGTGTGCGTTTGTGTGTGTGCGTGTTTTGTGTTTGTGCTTGTGCTTGTGTTTGTGATTGTCTTGGTGTGTGCGGTTGTGTTTGTGCCTGTGCTTGTGTTTGTGTTCGTGTGTTATTGTTGTGTCTGTAATTGTGTGTTTGAATTTATGTTCGTGTTTGCGTTTGTGTTTGTGTTTGTGTTTGTGTTTGTGTTCGTGTGTGTGTGTGTGCGTGCGTGCGTGTCCGTGCGTCCGTGAGTGCGTGCGTGCGTGCTTGTGTGTGTTGCGTGCGTGCGTGCGTGCGTGCGCGCGTGCGCGCGTGCGCGTGTGTGTGTGTGTGTGTGTCTGTATGTGTATAATGATGTGTATGAGTATGTGTATGTGTATGTGTATGTGCATGTGAATGTATATGTGGATGTGTATGTTTATGTGCATGTGTACGTGCATGTGTATGTGTATGTGTATGTGTGTTGTGTGTTGTTTGTTGTGTGTTGTGTGTTGTGTGTGTTGTGTGTTGGGTGTTGGGTGGTGTGTGTTGTGTGTTGTGTGCTGTGTGTTGTGTATGTTTTGTGTGGTGTGTATGTTGTGTGTGTTGTGTGTTGTATGTTGTGTGTTGTGTGAGTTGTGTACCTTGTGTGTTGTGTGTGTGTGTTGTGAGTGTTGTTTGTTGTGTGTGTTGTGTGTTGCGTGGTGTGTGTGTTGTCTGTTGTGTGTGTTGTGTGTTGTGCGTGGTGTGTGTTGTGTGTTGTGTGTTGTGTGGTGTGTGTGGTTTGTGTGTGTTGTGTATGTTATGTGCTGTGTGCGTTGTGTTTTGTGTGGTGTGTGTTGTGTGCGATGTGCATGATGCGTTATGTGCGTTGTGTGTGTTGTATGGGTTGTGTGTTGTGTGTTGTGTGTGTTGTGTGCTGTGTGTGGTGAGTGTGTTGTGTGTTGTGTGTTGCGTGTTGTGTGTATTGTGTGTTGTGTGAGCTGTGTTGCGTGTGTTGTGTGTTGTGTGTGATGTGCGAGCTGTGTGTGTTGTGCTGCGTGCGTTGTGTGTGTTGTGTGTGTTGTGTGTTGTGTCGTGTGTGTGTTGTGTGATGTGGTGTGTGTGTGTGTTGTGTGTTGTGTGTATGTGTGTTGTGCGTGTTGTGCGTTGTGTATTGTGTGTGTTGTGTGTTGTCTATTGTGTGTTGGTTGTTGTGTGTTGTGTGTTGTGTGTTGTGTGCTGTGTGTTGCGTGTGAAGTGTGTTGTGTGTCGTGTGTATGTTGTGTGGTGTGTGTGTGTTGTGTGGTGTGTGCGTTGCGCGTGCTGTGTGAGTTGTGTGTAGTGTGTTGTGTGGTGTGTG